TGAGCAAGGGAGTATTGTGTCGGATGAACAATAACGGTCTCGAGGACTGAAGTAATGGTTATGACAGCGGTAATTTGATGGACGGTATCAATAATTCTGGGCAAAACTGGAAAGATTTTAAGGGGGTGTGGTTTGCAAAGAAGCTTAAATGAATTGATTTAGCCACCAATGTCATCAAAGAGAACTCGATAGTTAAGTGTGCTTATGCTGGAGTAGTCCAAAGATGGGTGACCTTCCGGGAAGTGCTTCTTAGAACTGTTTGAGTCATACTAAAACAGAATGAAAGAGCCTTAAAGCCTCCCAGGCGTAGCAAACTGGCCGTCGGGTATGGATGGGCTCATTGGCCTAGTGAGAGGACGTGAGGACCATTAAGAGAGGTGGGCCTATGGGCTGAGAGTGAACATGGGGCGTTACAAGGGTGTGCATTAAATAGAACGTGGATTCACCAAAAATTAACCCAAAATTAAGCATTAGGATATTTCAACATCGGATATTTAATTTTCCCAACGTATTATATTATTTCAATATCTAAATTTTGGATTTTCTAATAATTCTCTAACTCATTGAAAATAATAAATTAAAACAATCATTATTATCCTTGCACCTTTATTTGATCTTATTTTTAATTTATTATATTAAAAATATATAATACAAATGTAGACTAAAAATTGAATATTTTTTTTGAATATCTTGGAAATTGAAGTTTTCAAAACGGATATATATTACTCGTTAACAACATATATTATTATAAAGTCATTAAGGGTAAAGTCTTATTAAAATAAAGTTTGATTTTTTAAATGGATTGGTTAAATATTTGGTTAAATCTAAGCGGGTTGGTTAAATATTTCAATGAAATTTTATATTATAGTTAATTGATAGAAAAAGGTGTGAGACATACAACATCAGTTAAATATTTTGGAAAATGGTTTTAAATCATTAGAAACATTATGCTTCTAATTATGAATGTGCATGAAATTTAATTTACCAAGTGTTTAGTTTTAAAAGTTTTGTTCGGATTAATAAACTATTTTATTTGACCATATAATCTTTTAAAAAGGAAAGTCTTATGCACATGGTTAATCTGGCCATTAGCGAGGCGCGAGCCTGGCAACAGGCCCAGGTTGAAGACACGGGCCAACCTATGGCTTCTCAGCTTTCATTCCCTCGGGTGCGGGGCGGCCCACCATCCCTCCGTCCCTCTCTTATAGGCTACCACTGCTTTGTGGACGGCTCCTGGAAGGCAACTGATGAATTCTCAGGCATAAGCTGGTTCTGTCAGCACTCCTCAGGACATTCAACGATCAGGGGGGCAATGAATGTCCGCCGAAGTCTATCTCCTCTCCATTCTGAAGTTGAAGCGCTGGTATGGGCAATGAGATGCATGGTTGGCCATAATTTCAGAGATGTTCTTTTCCTTACAGACTGTTCAGATTTGGTGAAAATGGTGTCTTCTCCTTCCGACTGGCCGGCTTTCTCAGTATACCTTGATGATATCCATATCGACAGGGAAGAATTCTCTTCTTTCTCTTTATCTCTTATTCCAAGAAATGCAAATGTAAAAGCGGATTTATTGGCACGCAAATTTCGTACCATTCCGCTTCATGTCAAGTATGTAAAAAATGTTCCCTCTGATTGGCTCGTTTGAGCCAATTTGTTAGTAAGTTGTTGCCAAAAAAAAAAAAAAAACTTTTAAAAATATTCAAAATATTATAACTTTTAAATGTTTGAAAAGATTAAAATATTTTTATATTGAAACCTTTAATGGGGAAATTTCAAAAATACCCATTTTCCAATACAACTTTTTAAAAATACCCCTCATTATAATTTTATCAAAAAGTCACTATAAAATTTGAAATTTATCAAAACAATATGTGTAAGCTTATATTTATAGACACAAATTATCTTTATATGTGTGTACATTTATATATATATCATAAATACCTTTTAAAAACCTTATAAATGCCGTTTCAAACCTTTTAAAACCTTATAAATATTTGGATATAGTCTCCTAGTAGTGGTAATGATGATCTTGATGTACCTTATCAACCATATAAAACTTTGAAAAGGGGTATTTTTGAAAATGGATAAAAAAGAGGGGTATTTTTAAAAAAGGGGTACATCAAAATGTGGTCGAACATATGTTTACTAACCTTTTATACATTGTAAAATGCATTTTGCTATATTTTTGGTAAATTTCTTATATTTAATATTGTCCATTGGTGGTCTAACAGATGTTCACTAACCTATTTTGATGGTTTTACATATTATTGAGGAGTCAGTTATAGAACTTGTGTCCATTTATGACTGTCCAAAGTTTAATGTCACCCAACCTGAATGCATAAAAATAACCATATGAATAATTAAAATTAATAATATAGTTGAACATCATGGTTATGTTTGTGTGGACACATGATTAATGAGGCATTAAATTGTAATTTGATGGTTTTATATATGATTAGTAGAGGCAGTTAAAGAAACTATGTCCATCAATGCCATTCCGTAGTTTACTTATCACCAAAGCTGAATGCATTGAATTAGCCAGGAGGCTAACCACAATTAATCATATAATTAAATATGTGGATTATGTGCGAGTGGACACATGATTATGGAGGCAGATAAAATGCTGACTTGATTGTTTTACGTACGAGTAGGAAATGTTTGTTTGGTGAATGTAGATGTCCATTAAGCGTAGAACATTACCAAGTGTCCATTACGTTAGTTAGAGTCTATCTAGAAAATTTCCTTATGTATAGTTGTGGATAGTTATATATGGACAGAGCGGCATGAACAAACTGAAAACGAAGTGAAAAAAAATGAAAAAAAAAAAACTCATGAAGGGAGAACCTAAGGGGTTGTCCACCAAACACATTCCAACCTCATGCTGTTTTTTGGTCAAATAAGCATCTAGATAGACGGTCATCCTTGTCGGTCCATGATTGGGAACATGCAAGTATAGAGAAGGTAAAAATGAGATGGCGATGGGGAAGGAATGATAAGTTGAAACAAAGGAAGTATGTGAAGAGGAAAAAAATATATTCTATCAGATTTGGGGAGATGTTTATGGGGAATAAGAAGAGGAACAAACAGTGGACAAACATAAAAACATTAATCATGCTTAGAAGGTATCCATATAACTATGACCATGAGGCCAAAAGCCCTAAAAGATAAAAAAGGATAGATAAAAAGGTGTGAACATAAATGATATCTACTGTTTTTATTGTTTTTAAAACATTGTTTATAGGTTAGTTTCATGCATTTTCCGTTATGTTTAGTGTGTTTAGGATTGCATTTTGCATTGGCTCAGTCTTTGTAGGTACTTGAAGGTTCAACAAGGAGTTAGGAGCTTTTAAGGTAAAAAAGGAGCTTAATTGGAGCATTTCTAGCAATGGTGATGACGGAGGAACCATGGAATGAAGCAAGTGAATCAAAGAATCACAAAGAGACCAAATAAAAGGAAAAATTAAGGAGGTGAAGTGTCGCGCCTGACCCGGTCTGTCGAGCACTTGGTCGTGTCCTTCAAATATCGACCCGGATGAAGATCTTCCCTTCCGATTTAGCTTCAGAGTCCTTCATCAAAGGTGTAGGAAATCGAATTAGCTTTCCAATGGTGGTTCTAAACCAATCCGAGCTACCGACAAGACTGGTCGGGCATGAGATCGGGCTAAAGAATTCTCAGAACAGACCCGAGACAAAATTGAAGAAACTGGTGCTCGACCAAGTTTGAATTGCATTTTAGTCAAGTTTAGAAAACCAAATCAAATATCTTATTAAGCTTAGATTAAATAAATTTGTGTGGTGTGTTAATTAATTTCTCCTTGAGGTTCGATAATTTAATTGATCGGGTAAAATGACTACATCAATTTGGCGCCACTACCGGGGAGCAATATCAATTAGACATTAGGATTTCATTTTTGCTTGAGACTAAGCCATTTACTTTTCGTGCATACGATTAGATTCACACATCTGGTTTAGATGATGAAGTCTCTTTTTTATTTGTTACTAACTTGTCTTCTTTGATTCTCTTGTGCTTTCGAAGGTACTCAATTCAAAATAAGAAGAATGGGAAGATAAGGTCATTTAAGGTGTTGGATGTGGACATTCGTACAAAATCTCAAGCTCCACAACCTCAAGATTTGAGAGTAAATCCAACTTATGTTCGAGAGGAGACAACCACGATAGGAAGCTTTGATGTTCCTCATTGTCATGAGTTAAAATATGGAATCCGACCTCCTCTAATAGAAGCTAATGCTTATGAAATCAAGCCAAGTTTGATTCAATTGATTCAAGGCTCCCAATTCTTGGGACTAGCTATGCAGAATCCATATGATCATTTGGACTCCTTAGAGAAGTTGTGTAGCACATTTAGGATTGGAGGTGTGCCCGACGATAGTATCAAGCTCATTTTGTTTCCATTTTCTCTTGGAGAAAAAGCAAGCCAATGGGAGAGAGCTATACCAACACAGTTGGTCAACTCTTGGGATGATTGTAAGAGGATATTCCTTCTCAAGTTCTACTCTAAGCAAAAAAAACGGCCAAAGTGAGGAAGGACATATTGGTCTTTGAGCAAGGAATCAATGAAAGTTTCTATGAAGCATGGGGAAGATTTAAGGGATATACCCGAGATTGCTCTCATCATGGATTCAACAAGGAAGCTATCCTTGATATTTTATATAGGTGAGTTAGAAAGGAGCTAAAATGGAGATTGGATGAGGCTAGCAAAGGAAATTTTTAAAATTTCACTATCGAACAAGGAGAGTTACTTGTTGAGGATTTGGCCGAAAGCAATCAAAGATGCATTGAGATATGTGATCAATCATCTCTGGAGACAATATACATGGAGATATTCACAAGAGAGATTATTCCAAGTTCAACAAGAGCAAGGATTTCAACCAAGTCCCCAATTCACAAACCAAGGGCAATCTTATATTCAAGCTCCTCCTCAAGATAATTAAGTGAATTCCATGATAAAACGAGTTTTAGAAGGCCAAACAAAGGATTATATGGATGTTGGTAAGCGGTGTGTTGATATGCACAACAAGATGGATGAGATGTACAATGCTCTTAATGGTAAGATCACTAGATTGGCTTCTCAACATGAAGATATGAAGGGTAAGAAAGTGACTAAAGACTTTACTTATCAACATGAAGAGATCAAAGTTGTTAATGTGGGGAATAAAAAGACCATAAAGCTTGATAAAAATATCTTGGATGGTGAATGTCTATGTAATATTCCTCACCAAGACTAATACTTAGATGGAAAGGCCGAAGAATGGCTATCGAAGGAAAATTGATCAAGGCGAAGGAGAATTAATTTTTGGACTTGAGCCAAAGTATTCTTAGATGAATACAAAGCTTTTGATCGAAGAAAAATGGAAATCAGACGATGAAAATCATATTTCATACGACGATGAAGTTTCTGGCCGAAGGAGTATCGAGTACGAACACGATCACAAGTATATCATTCCATTGCATCCGCAAGCTAGTAGGTTGGTAGGCAAGCTGCTACACTATTATGGATAAGCATGAAGTTTAGGATAAGCATCAACATTTGGATAAGGATAGAGAAGGAGATAAGCTCAATTAAGCCTATCCATGCCACCTCGTGCTTCCATAGCTTCCTCCACAAGTAACCACGTCCTATAAATACCCCTCTCCTTTTTATTTATTCTTCACACCAAAAACCAAAGAAAACTTTCCCCAATGAGTAAGTGTCCGAGCTTGTCCGTGGTAGTATCCGAGTAGGATCGCTGAGAGTCTAGAGTCCCTAGTAGCCAAGCCAAGATAACTGTTATGCTAGAATTTATGGGCATAACCGTTATGCTGTCGGATTGTTATATTATTTGGTTGTTGGTTATGCTTTGGTTAGATATCTAGCACTAGTCGGATCATGCTATCCTCGTCGTATATGATACGTTAGGTCAAGTGATTGTAAACGAAGGCTCGGAGCTGGGTCGCGACGGACCGAGCAGCTACATGACGATGTAGAGTGAAGGGATGACAGATCTTCTATAGACTTTGTGTCTGGAAGTGTAGGGCATTGCCTTGGGGATATCATGGATTCGTAGGGGCCCAAAGTAGGATCGAGATGAGGTGTATTACTTGCATTTTGGTTTATTGCTTATGGCTTTTAAGCCATAATGATCATTGTTTGTCATTGCTTGTGATTGGGGGTTGGGTTGGGTTATTTTGTTAGAGATCCCGGACTTACTGAGTAATCTTAGATTACTCAAGAGTCTACCAATTTGTTTTGCAAGTAACCAGTAGTGGGAAAACCTTAGGGGAAACAAAGGACGTTAGGCCAACCGGTGTAGATTTCCTTGCCTTTGTAAGAAATAGTTTTGTGTATAATATGTATGACTCTATTTTTCCGATATTAATAATGCAATGTTTTTATAAACCATGTGTCTCCCATGGTATTATTAGTCTTGTCCGGACTAACACAACATGATTTCACAAAGAACATCTCATTTCTATTGTGTAATCATCATGATTAGTGAGTAGTCTTTTAGAGTTCTTGGGTTTTGGTAGATTAGGATGATTTAGTAGTTGGGTTATGGAGTTTAGGACTAGATTGTTTAGAATCCTTACTTATTGGTTGCTAATAAGGCTAAATCAACCTTGATTATGTTGATTTAGAACTTAGGAATTTCATGCCCGGAAGGTGTTCTTTGAAATTCTCGAACCAAACATTTTAAATGCTTTTCATTCCTAGCCTTTGGAAATTATTGCATAGGGTGATTAGTGGTTAGATAGACTTGTTTATAATGCTTATTGATCATTTGATTGCCTTTGAAAGAAGTTGATAATTGATTTATTAGAAGTTTTTTGAGCCTCCATAACCCATCTCTTTTTCATTCTAGTCAATTGGCGTAACCTGAGAATTTGTCTTTTAATTATTGCTTAGTAATGTATTATTTCTCGCTTTGTTTGATTTCAAAACTTGTTAGTATTTTGGTATTTACTTTCTTTTGTTTTGCTTTGCATTATTTAGTTTGAATTGCATTGTTAGTCAAGTTTAGAGAACCATATCAAATATCTTATTAAGGTTAAATTAAGTAAATTTGTGTATTCTTGGTGTGTTAATTAATCGCTCCTTGAGGTTAGATAATTTATTTGATCGGGTAAAATGAACACATCAATAAATAATGGTTTCATACTTTTATTAACAATGTGAGTGTGTAAACATATAAAAAAAGACGGAATATTATAATGGAAGGAAAGAGAACGTGAATTTTAGTTAGTATGATGGAAAGAGAGTGTGACTATCTAGTTGAGTGTCAATTTAGTTAATAGTGTAACTTTATTAGGCTATAATTGCACTATATTTTTCCAATATCTTCCTAACTTGGGAAATTTACTAATTGTGCCATATGTTTATGAAAAGTGACCTTAGATGCAAATAATCCTTTTAACAATGTACATACATAGGCTTACTAACAAAATATACAATAAAACCTCTATAATTTAATAATGTTGGGACTAGGAAATTTTATTAATTTATAGAGGTATAAATTTATTGATAAATTAATAATTAGTAATTTATAGAGATATTTCCTGATTTGGTAAGTTAAATATATATATATATATATATATATATATATATATATATATATATATATATATATATATATATCAAAAATAAGATTTAGTCATTATAATCAATATTTTAAAAAAACAATTACAACAAAACAACAATCATCATGAATGAATAAAACACTATAAAAATTTTGATACATGAAATCTATAATATAAATTTGAGAATAAATAACAACATAATAGTCATATTTCACTAGAAGTTTTACATGTCTATAGATATATATTAATAATTTTATGTAATTATTAATTTATAATATTATTGGGACTATATATTTACAAAGGATTTTCAAAAATATTATTATCTTATTATTTTATTGAAATGTGTCTAAAATTACACTGGTCCTAACTTATGACCGGAGATTTTTATTAATTTTTAGAGGTTATTAATTTATCGAGTATTAATTTATAGAGGTTTTACTATGGCTGTGACTAAATAACCGAATCTACCGAATATCCGGATCCAAATCCGAAAAACAAGATATCCGCTCAAATGGATCCGGATCCGGATTTTAAATTTTTACATAATAGACATATTTCACTAAAAATTGTACATGTCTATAGATATATATTAATAATATTATGTAATTATTAATTTATAATATTACTGGGACTATATATTTACAAAAGATTTTCAAAAATATTATTATCTTATTATTTTATTGAAATTTTTCTAAAATTACACTGGTCCTAACTTATGAACGAAGATTTTTATTAATTTGTAAAGATTATTAATTTATCAAATATTAATTTATGGAGGTTTTACTATGGCTATGATTAAATAACCGGATCTGCCGAATATCCAGATCCAAATCCGAAAAACAAGATATCCACTCAAACGGATCTGGATCCGGATTTTTAAATTTTTTTATCCGTCCGATTTGATACGGATACGGAAACTAAGAAAACTATGGACCGGATATACAGATTCGGTTAAATTTATTATAATACAAATATATAATTTTATATATATATATTCTTTGTGAATAAAATAAATTTTAGTCCATGAATAGTGGGAGAGAGAACACATATATATAGGAGAAGTTTAAGGAGACAAACTTTGATTTTGTCAATGTGGGACCTTTTCACACTCTCTGTTTTTGTTATTCAACTATCACTCGAACAGATAACAAAAATGTGCTCTCTTTTTATCTATAAATAATCCAAAGCCTTTTATTCTCACAACTGCTTATTGAGTTTACCAAATAAAGGCCATAATACAAAATAATTCAGATTTTGGATATCCGGGAGATAACCAAAATCTTAACGGTTAACCAGAAATTAGATCCGGAGCTCGATACCACAAAAAAGGTCGGATAACCGCATCCGGCCCACGCCTAGGTTTTATTGTACTACTCAAATATTGATTGAAACGAAATTTTAATACGAATAAGTTTTACTGATACACTAGATTATGTATCAAACTATGTAAATCATAGGCAATTCACGGGTTATTTTGTTAAACTCACAACAATATATCGTAGAGTGAGTAATGAATAATATTTTTACGAATCCAATCCATACGGGTAGGTTCTTCAAAACACATATTGTGAGTATGTAAATTTTTATGGGACAATATACATAAAAATTATAAAAGATTTACGCTCATAAAAAATTACATACTCATAATATGTGTTTTAGAGAACCCATCCGTAACAGATTGGATTCGTAAAAATATTGTTCATTACAAAGAGATACAAAATAAAAATAAAAATTATTGTTAAACTTCTATAAATTAATACTCGATAAATTAATAATCATATAAATTAATAAATTTTCGGTCCTAAGTATTAAGAATATTTTTATAAATTAATAATAACTATCAGTTAATAATTGTTTGGTCCCATTAATAATTTTTGGTCCCAAGTTCGGTCATTGTAATTTTAGACACATCTCTATAAAATAATATTATCATTTTTTTTTTGAAAATCTTTTGTTAATATTAAGTAAAATATAACTATTGTATTTTTATTTATTTTTAATTTACATTTCATGTATCAAACTTTTCTAATATCAAACTTTTCTAATATAAAATTGTTGGGCCAGTAGAATGGGTTTGATTGATAATGTACTCAAAGGTGTACAAAGGTGATGTAAGATGGAGCTGTAACCTTTTAAGGAATACTGCAAGCAGTAAGAAAAAGCGGTACAAAAAAAGCTGTACAAAAAAGTAGAGAGTGAAATTTTTAATAAAGTTTTTTGTAAAGTTTTTTGTGATTGGTAAAATATAAAAACTGTATTATTTGTAAATCTTTTATATGTTTACCAATCAAAGCCAATAAATTTACAACAATCACATGTATTAAATACACTATAAAATTTTTGGTCAGTATAATAAATTAATAAATTTTATAAATTTACTAACAATTTTTACTATAATTTTTATTTTTATTTTGTATATCTTTATACACATGGATCCCACATCACTATAAGTTATGCACACGTGGAATCCACGTCAGCGTGACTCTTGCACAAGTGAATTCCACATCATCATTAATTGAGCATTTATCACGTTTTTGTATGTTTAGGCACAAAAACTTAAATGTATGTTTCAAATTCAAATTAGTTATAAGTACATGTCTATTACATTACATGTAATAGTGCAATGTATGAATTCAACATAGTATAACTGTGCAGGTATGAAAATATACCCATAGCAAGAAGTACGTTTCTCTATGATAACTTATTGGGAAAGTAGGTTATAGTGCTATTTTTCAGATTATACTTAGATTATTTTTTAGTTATTTTATTATATTCATAACTATTTGAAACTATTTACACTTATAGTCATTATTATTTTATTAGATTTAATAAAAAAATTACAAAAATAGATAAAAAAAAAAAAAAAAAAAATCAGCAAATCCAGCAGATACCATTCAAAATGTACAAATTCAGGTAAAAATCACTAAAAGTTTCAACAGATTTTGCGATTCAACAGAAATCAGCAAAAAGTCTTTGGTTACCATTTAGACCCTCAATATTTTTACACCAACTAATTAATATTCTATTAATGTTGCAAAATTACTCTCCTTTGTTGTCCATTTTCAGTCATATCCATTTTCTATATTTAAAATGACTAAATTCCAAATAATAAACCATACCCCCTAAAAACTATACCCTAAATGTGCATTGAGGGTATTCTTGCAAAACGGAATTTAGGAATGTGCATTAGTAACAATTTGGTAAACAAAATCAGCAAATTTCTGCAGTTATCATACACATGTAAAAATTCTGCCAGATTCAGCAAAAATTCCTCGGTTACCATTTACACCCTATGTATTTCATCATATGAAATTATGAATACTTTATTCTAGTCCAATGATATTTGGTTTTAGTGAGGTAGTTCATTTCGTTTATAATTTTTAATCTAGTAATAAAATTTATCTAAAGAGGTTTCTTCCAAGATTATAGCATATTATGTTAAGGAGAAAAAATCACCAATATATTATATTGTACGCAAAGATCAAAAGTTACAAAGATCGAAGTCCACAATTAATGCAAAGAAGAATTTATAGATGAGTTCATAATCAATCACTATCACATTCATAAAACCAAGCAAAACAAAAACCACAACCAAAACCAAACAAAAACCCAAAACACTTGTCATTTCCTCCTCCTAGTTATCTTAAGCATTGAAGTGTAATAACACCATCTCTTGGTGCTTCATTAATATCATAAGATGTTTCTACATCTGCATTAACATCTTTTGATTTTGTTTTACCAAAAATGAAACTTGTCTTGTTTTTTTTTTATTGATTCCACTTGGGTTTGAGTAACACTTGTCTTTTTTTATTTTTTTATCGATTCCACTTGGCTTTGAGTAATCTCATTCAACGAGTACAATATCTCAGTCTCTCCTTGAAAACCTTCTTCCACATGAACACTATGAATTATGACCGATTCTTCCAAAGACTCTTGGTGTGGTCTCATATTGTATTCATGAACAAGCAAGCAATCGATAAGGACACTAATAAAAAGTATTACTTCCAACGAGTACAATAATCTTCTTCACCACTACTTTATCTTCCACCTTCTACCCACAAGACTTCATACGAAACACAAGCTCCATTAGTTTCCCTGTAAATTTTATGAATCGTGTATGCATCGCTCATTGTTATATTCTCGTATTCATTCTTGACATCGAGAAGGCTTCTAGCTTTAAATATAGGACCATGTACTGTGAAATATAGATCTCACTATCAAAAAGATCTCATGCTTCTTTTGATGATGTAGCATAAGCTGTCCAAGAAAAAACTTCAATGCTTACTCTGGTCTGGATTAGGAATAGTGTGTGAGCATCTTTACATTCCATCCATTGTCTCCATCAGATTGAAAAGTTATCAGCGGTTGCATCAGATGATAATGCATCATAACTTACTCCTTCAAATTCACGAGATGTCGATTAAGTTAAATACAACGGTTCTTGCTGATAAATTCCCATCTCCACAACATCCTATTGATTTAACACCTTGAGAAGGGGTTTTTATCTGTACACTCTAATAATCATAGTTTTTTCCATCAAATACAAGAACATAATCCATCGATCCCATAATGATCCTTGATTCAACTAGAACAATGATCTCTAAAATAAAATCTTCAACTAGCAACGTGAATCGAATATTAATTAGGAGGATTGTATTTCTTTTTGTATGAAGAGGTTTGGCCTTATTTATAAAAAAATATACACGGATCGACTATACAAATTTCTAATAATATAATTAACAACAAGATAGATGTAAATATAAGTGAGGATTTATCATAAATTTGATAATATATATACAAAAATAAACATTTTATTTTCATTTGTTTTCGTAGTTCTTAATAATATCTTATTGATCTTCGAGGATAAGGAGACTCCAACTTCTGAGACGCTCCTCCAAGCCGTTAAGGAATCCCGTAGTTGGCATTTAGCTACAGAATGTAAGTAGGCAAGAAGCCAATTCCCAAGGTCAGCTCCATCAGTTAAAACCCATAGTGAAGGCTTCGAGTGTTACTTAGATAATGCTTGGCGGGCGACGGATCTAACAGGTGGCTTTGGCTGGATATTTCAGGATCCCCATTCCTCTTTCAAGCTCCAAGGAGCAACTTCACGACCCTTTGTGTCTTCTGACCTAGTGGCAGAGACTCTCACATTGCAAGCCGGAATAGGCGCTGCTAGAGATTCGGGTGTTTCAAGGCTGACCTGCTTCTCGGATTGTTTGGAACTGGTTCTTCTTCTCAACTCCGGAGGTCAGCATAACGAGATTGATGGTCTTCTCGCTGACATTGTTTGTGCAAAGCCCTCTTTTCTCTCTATCTCTCTATCTTCTAGCCCCTCTCCCGTTGGAGTTTAACTTTCTATTTTAATGCATTTGGTTTAAAATTCGTTAATATTTTCCAACTTTTTCCAACTTTTTTTTACAATTCGTTAGTTGGCGCTTAATATTTGTGACATGTGTCATTTTCATTAATTATTAGTTTAAAATTTTAAAATTCTTTTATTTTAATCCATTTTGTTTTTTTAAATCATTCACAATCTCTTGTTATTCAATCAATAATTTATAAGTTTCATTTCAAATCTAGTGTTATTCAAAATATCACAACTTTTCTTTCAAAAACTACAGAATGTGATTCTAGTAGACTTTTCTATCATTTTTAGTTCGAAAATATGAGCGACAAATCATACCTTAATAGGTGAAAGTTTGAAGGATTGAAAACACAGTGTATAAAACCAATTAAAAAGTGATCGTAAACCATATCTGGACTTGTATCTTCTATACTGTCTCTCTCACTCTCAAACACATAGATGAAGAAAAGAAAGTGATCGTAAACCATATATGCGACTTTTATCTACACTTTTTTTTTTCTCTCACTCTCAAATACATACGTTGCTCAATCACGTTGATGTTGTCAATCCATTCGTGAATCAGAACTTAATCAGCTGTTGACTCCCACATGTCACCATCGATGGTTGTGAAATATGCAAAACCGATGTCTATGTGGAGATCGAGAGATTTCAAAAGGGTAATGATTTCAGCCAAAACTCAGAAAAGTCGACGGAACACGAACTAGACAGTGTTGGGTGATGTTGGGTTTGGGTTTATCTGGATTACTTGAAATCCGTTAATGATGAGCCGATAGGACACGCCGTTCATGTCATATATTCTGTTGTATGAATGGATACGCCAATCCCGAAACAGCTTTTTGATTTCGTTGTCATCTTATGTCCAAATAAAACCAAGCTCAGTCGCACTATTTATAAAATAAGCAAAACCAATCCAACAGTCTATAATAACCGGCAAGCTCAGTGGTTGATATACATGAGCTGGGGATACTTGCATAGCAGCATTTGCAGTCGCTATTGTAGACGAGCAAGCCTCATAAGAAATTGCATTTGCTGGTAATAATTTAAGACATTCTTTCGTAAAAAAATATGAAGTACAAAATTAATTTGCTCTTTTTTGGATCAAAGAATTCTCATATATGGGCTTTTTCCCTTGTTTTGTACTTAGGGTTAGTTATTGGTGTGTATATATTACTATCATATTTGAAGGTACCTTTTCACGACCTGTAGCTTTCTTCGACCATTAGAATTCTCATATATGGGCTTTTCCCCTTGTTTTGTACTTAGGGCTTTTCACGACCTGTAGCTTTCTTCTCCCCTACTAAATTACTATCATATTTGATGGTACGTTTTCTTCTCCGTCAAAAGTGAGTATTTCCTATTGCTTTTTTACTTTTCTTTATTATCACGTTTTGTATCATTAAATTTATAAGAGATAAATGTTGATAGTTAATTAACAAAGATACAAACAAAAGCAAATTTATGCAAGTTGGAAATAAATTCATGGTCGGCCAGTTAATAAATAGTTACTTTTTTAACACTTTTTTTTATTGTATGGATAGTTATCTGTCACAATACAATTATTCATAAGCTGTGAAAGCTAAAGTTCAATATAATCAAAGGTTTGAACATAAAAGTAAGATGCCAAGATGTTAGTGCAGCTGCTAGTGGATGCAATTAATCAGGGTTTTTGCATTGGTTCTGGCAAATTCGACAAATTAATTGTCGAGACAAGAGTATTAACAACTCTAAACCAAAATTTTGGAACTAACAAAACCCATAAGGGGTATAAAAATAGGTTGAAAGTCTTGTAGGGTAAGTAACTAGACTTGGGAGATCCTTTTCGTTTTAGTTCTTGTTCCGGGTGGGACCCTGAAACGAAGAAATTGACTGCTACAGATGAAGTATTATATGTCTTTGCGAAGGTAAGAAAAATTATAAAATAAATTTTTTGAATATTGTATTGTTGCTTATATGTATCAAAAGTACTAAAATGTTTTTATTTTTAAAATAGGCTCATTCAACTAAGATACATCTGCATGATGAGTCATTTGAAGATTTTGGAGATTTACAAATGATATTTGAATCAAATATTACAATTGGAAGGAATGTTGTGGGAATAAGCGATGCCATTAATGCATATACATATCAAGTTGAAGACAATGAAGCGATAAATAATTCAAGTCGTGTCCAAATAATGGAAGATGAGGAAATTGTGTATGAAGAAACATATGTTCAAGAAGTTTTCTCTGCATTAGACAAGAGAAGGGGGGGGGGGAAGCTACTCCAAGAAAGAAGGCTAGAACTTATGCTCTTAACTAGAACAAGGTTTTTGATGAAATGAATTCAATGCAAGAATTTGGTCATCAGATTTTTGGCCTCACACAGAAAACATGGGAAAAGGTAAACGAAGAAAAAGAAGGTGAGGACAAAGCTAATAACGTGTGGGAAGCTATCAAAAGAATTTCTGAATTGGATGAAGATTTGTGTTACGAGGCCATGACATTGATTCACAATTTAGGTATGAAATATGGTTTCACCCATATGCTTATTGCAGATCGCAATGGATGGATCATACAAAACCTTTGTAAACCATGAGAATAAAGTTGAATGCATCAACAGAGATTGAAGATGGGATTTTATTTTCTATTATTTAATATTCATATAGTACCACTTTATGAGCTTTTTTTGTATGTTTGATCGGAGACATTTCTTCCATTTTAATAATAATCGACTCTTTTTAATATTTTTTTAGTTCTTGAATGAAACTGGAACGATATATAAATGGCCAAAGACATGCGAGAAAATTACATGCAAATATCTATTAAACTAAAATAAATACAAAATTACATATAAATATGTATTAACCTAAAATAAATACAAAATTGTATCTTTTAATTTACTTGTGGCGGGTAAGAAAATGGATTTATACATTATGGAGGGTAAACATGTACGAAATTAGGGTGAATTTCTAATTTCACGAGGCACCAGCCCTCTCTCATTTGTATTCTCTCCACTGCGGGTGCCTCGTGAGATACTTCTTTTTCACTATTTCTTCGACAATTACTCTTTTCAAGGATTATTATATGATTTTGTCTGCATATGTGTATTATGATGTCTCTATGTATTATGCTCATCCTCTTATATATTAAAAAGAGAAGTACACATTTGATATTACAAAATTATGGCCAAAGTTTCCCAAATTTCCTATAAATTAGTGAGAAAGGAGAAACTTTATTGAAATTAGGAGAGATAATCTGAGTAAATTTATCAATTAAAATCGAAATTTCTGCCCAATTGATAAGTGACCCGCGTGCCTACCCTTTACATAAACAGATTCTCTAGACTTAAGTTTGATCCTTTAAAAAATCAGATATATCGAGAATTTTTATTTTTTCTAAATTTGTAAATATCATATAACGAAAAGTGGCTGGGTTACAACGTAACTTTACAATGATTCCTTGGCAAAAATTAAATAAAAAACAAGGAAATATACAGATTCTCAAACAAGAGAAAACAGAATGTTATCTGATCCACAGACCCATCAAATTCTTGAAGCCTTTCCTATTATTTCTCGCTGAAATTATGTTGAGGATCTCTCTGTTCAAAGTCTTGAAAATCACTGATGAGGTGATGACCCGGTGATTATGATGAAGATTATTCCTTTGCCTCCATATGGCATTGATGGTAGCTTGTGATGCGAACATCGATTATCATGTCCAGCCCGCTGAACTAGATCATGTACCAAATCCTGTACCACACCTTGTACCAGTCGTCCCAGAAGGTCCCATGACTCGTTCAAAGTCTAAAAAACTTAGAATGAGGTTCAACTTAGCTGTACAAGACACTGTAACCTCACTATAACTGAACTACGTCAACTGGTCTGTACCACCTTTACTCCATCACTACGGATATGATCCCATCGCCGAGGAAAAGCTTGGTGAAGCATTCACCCAAATGAGTCTTGAACATACCATCTCCCCAGGTATGAATTCTCCTTTGACAGGTCAAGAAATCTCTAGAATCCAAGAGAAGACAATGGAGTCACAAGAAACAAGCAAAACAAGCTTTACCTTCGAGAGTGATCGAGAGAGTGAAGATCAAGAACAAGACATCAAGGACTTGGAAGAGCTTCAAGAGACTGATCAAGCTACCCAAGAGAAATTCCAAGAAGCCATCTACTTCAAGAACCCAACAAACAAACAGGCACCTGACAAGAATCCTGAAGTAGATCAAAACGTAGTTCAGAGAACCGCTATTGGGCTTAGATCGCATCCAGGTAAGTTCTATTCAGTATTTTAGATATTTGCAGGTCCACTAAGCCCCAACAACAGCTAGAATATGTGCCCTTCAAGTGAGTTTAAGTGTGCACAATTAGTTTCTTTATTTTGACATTTTCTTTCCAAAACCAATGGGTTTTGTGTTTGCTTTTTATTTGTTTCCTTTTGTATTATTTTGCATTTATTTTTGGCCCTAGGGCTAGCTGAAGGACTCTTATAAAGTCCCCTTGCAACAGTTGTACGAATTTTAACCCTTGATTATCAAAGAACCGAACTTTCTTCATTTCTTCTCTTTAAGTGTCCTTAAGAGAATAAGCTTGTTCTTTGTCTTGTGTGTGTGAGGCTAAGATCGTGTACTGTATCAGAGACCAATCACAACTCTGTGGTGTACTTCAATCCGCTAGCACTTCCCCTTCATTCGATCCCACACGAGAGAAGTGACCGCCATCATGTCAAATCTACATCAACGACCATCTTTGTTTCACAAGAGAGAAGCGACCACCATCTTGTGAAGCCATCATATCTATCCTAAAACAAGCTCACCACCGAGTCTTGTATCATCTTGGGAGACCAATTTCTTAGGAGTTTGGGGGACAAAGGTGAGCTGAGCCTCATCCAGGCGGAAAGGCTATCCCAGTTCCTGAATAGAACAAAAGGGAGCCTTAGCCTTTTGAAGATCATTCTCCATAACTCCTCACTAAAACCACAATTGATAAGCAGGTGATCTCTGGTCTCAGCCGAAGAATCGGAGAGAACACAGTTAGGAGAAACCTGCAAATCCCAATATACCAATCTAGAGCGAGTAGGTAGCATGTTAAAGTTTTCCGTCCATATATGGAATGAGTTCCTTGGGACAGCGCCTTTAAACCAGACCAGCTTGAACCAATATTTCCTTCTTCTCTTTGCCTCATCACTTCCAAAGTTTTCGCAAAAGAGAAGCCATTACAGTCAATATTGTTAACAAACCAGCCATAAGAGTCTGGGGAGTCCGCAAGCAGGGGTAGAGGGATGGTGGTTAGGAACACATGGAGCTCAACTACCCGTTGCGATCGGGGATAAGGTAAACGCCAAGCAGAACCGGCTGTAGCATTAGCGACCTTGGATGATAGGGGCATTCTCAGATTCTTGGGATTAACATCAGCGAGGAATTTCAACAAAGGACCAAAAGGGCTCCATGAATCGTTTCAAAAGCTTGCTAGAAGACCATTCCCCACCGAGCAACGCAGAAACTTCTCTGCTAGCGGTCTCAAACGCAGCAGACTCCTCCAATTCCACGAGTCATTGTTTTCTCACTTAGGGACCAGAAATGAGACACATAGGTAGCAGAAGCAGGAAAGTGGTGCATCCAATGCCAAGAAGACCAGAGCGAGTCACCACTAGAGAAAAGGAGCTAGACAAATTTTAACTCAAGTGTCAGGTTCCACTCATAGAAGCGTCTAAGGCCTATCCCCGCTTCCTCTTTGGGGAGACAAACTTTTTGCCCAAGAGACCTTTGCTTTATGGTGGTTATCAATACTACCGGACCAGAGGAAGTGAGAGTAAAGAGATTCTTTCTCTCAAATGCAGCCCTGAGGGAGTTTAAAAGTAGACATCCAGAAAATCACTGTCCCCTATATAACATAGGAGATCAACGGAAGATGTCATCGAAAAGATAGGGCTTTGACAGTCCAGCTGAGGAAACGACACTTCAATTTCTCGACAAGAGGTGCATACTCAGATACTTTAAGCTTCTTGCACATTAAAGGCAGTCCCATATATCTAATTAGAAGAGAAGCTTGAGGGAAGCCATAATGAGCAATAGCAGCCCTTTCAACATCATCCACTCCAGCTAGGAAAAATTCTGTTTTGTCTCTGTTCTTATTAAGCCCATCATCTAGAGTTTCATTTAAGCCATGCAAAGACGAGCTACCTCCATAAAAAAATATCATCACATCATCCGAGAACATCAAATGTGATAGTTTCAGCTCTTATGTTTTAGGATGATAGAATATATAACTTGAGGAGTACCTGGATAGGAGAAGCTTTGGGAAGACCTTCATAGCAAGTATGGAGTACCTGGATAGGAGAAGCTTTGGGAAGACCTCCATAGCAAGTATAAAGAGATAGGGCGAGAGAGGGTCTCCCTGACAAAGTCCTCTTTTTCTCTTGAAGGAGTACTAGAGATACCATTAATATCAATAGAAAAAGAAAGGGTAGTGATGCATTCTTCAATCCACTTTACAAAGGGCTCTAGCAAGTTAATTCCCTATAAAGTTGAAAGAACAAAATCCCATTTGATCGAGTCAAAAGCTTTCCTCAAGTCCACCTTGAGCATACCCTGAGGCTCTAAGTTTTTTCTGTTGTACCCATGGACTATTTCAGTAGCCAAGAGGACATTCTCTGATAGGTTTCTCCCTTTGATAAAAGCGGTTTGGGAAGGGGAGATGATATAAGGAAGAATATACTTGAACCTGTTAGCGAGAAGCTTAGAGATAACCTTGTATAAGGTGTTTATATGCGTTTGTTATCTTTAGAATCACCATAATTGTGGTTGCATTCCACTGCTTTAGAAGCTTCCCAGAACTGAAGAATTCCTTCACAGCCGCAGTGACTTCACCACCCACTATACCCCAACATTTAGTAAATAACTCTACTGGATAGCCGTCAGGTCCGCTGGATTATATTCAAAGACAGAGAGAGGAAAGCTGCTTTGATCTCATGAGAAGTGAAAGGTTTTATCATCTGCGACCTTTGATCCTTAGACCATTTAAAATCCAACAACCCTGTTATGTCATCTTGCTTCGACAAAGAGGGAGAGACTTCACTCCCGAGAAGATTGGAGATGTAGTCAACACATATCTCTTGAATTCCCTCTTGAGATTCCACCTTAAGCCCATTCTAATTCTCAAGAAAATGTATATGGTTCATAGCGCATCTAGCATTTGCCATTTTGTGGAAATAACTAGAGTTACAGACACCATCTCTCAGCCAAGATATGTTAGCCCTCTGTCTGAGGAAGTTTTCCTCCGCTTTAATCAGAACCTGACATCTTCTTTCAGCTTCCAATAATATGTTTGGATTCAGAGAGGAAGGGAGATCAAGCATTTCTCTTTGGACCTAGATCATTACCACATGAGCCTCTGTAACTCTCTTTTCAATCCCTGAGTAACGCTACCTGCTGAAGTCTCTTATAAGCTTCTTCAGGGCCTTGAGCTTATTAGAAATTATGAACATATCTAACCCCACAAAGTTGAAAGAGAATTAGCTTTCCCAGATAAGTTGTATGAAACCTTGATCCTGAAGAAGATAAGTAAACAGTTTGAAGGGTTTCTTTACTTTTTGTTTCTGAACAGAGAGGCAGATAGAAGAGCAAGCGTGGTCCGAGAATCCTGGTTGTCCAAAAAAACCAGTAGATAGGGGGTAGCTTAAAGCCCAGGGGCAATTAACATGAATCCTGTCAAGCTTTTTTGCAATAGGTGAATCACTTTGCTTGTTCCACCAAATGTAGGAACAACCTCTTAAAGGTGAGGTCTTGGAGGTTTGCATTTAGAAGGCAGTCTCTGAAAACTCTAGTGGCTCTGTCGACAGTGAAGCCATCAGAATTTGAGAGCATTGTCGGGTTTAATGTCTGGTTAAAGTCACCAAGAACTGTCCAAGGTTTACCTTGCAGCTTCTGGCTTGATGAAAGACTGACAATTTTGTCCCAAAGCAAGCAGTGTTCCACTTCCTCGTTTGCCGCATAAACAAAAGAAACCGCCATTGGACTGCTGGAGTTAGGAAACTTTACTTCACATGTGACCATTTGGAGAGACTTTGATAAGATAGTAACTTTGACACTAGGGTGCCATAGAACCCAAATCTTCCCCATATCCGAGTAAATGTACTTATCTTCAAAAACCAAGCCAGACAATAAGTTATTTCTGAGTTTTGCTCGCGTGTGCTGCTGCACATGAGTCTCAATAATACTATCAAAAAGAGGATTATTACTACGAATCCATTTTTTAAATTGGTACGATGGGAAAGTTTAATAAAGCCTCGGACATTCCATTAAAAAAGGTTTATACATATCATAATTTGTTGACTTTGAAGCTATTGCCTCGCTCACGCTTGCGTTGCCGGTTTGACACCACTGTTGTGAACTGATAATCATCATACCCCCCCCCCCTCAGAATCAGCTAAATCCGCATAACCGTCTGAGTCTCTAGAAACCATATCAGAAAAATCCTCCTCTGCACCTAAGGCCCCTGCCAAGGCACTAGTACCAACTGATCCACTAGCTTCACCTACTAACTTTTGACCGTTTAGGGCTGAGGTTGATACCAAGAGAACACCTTTATTAATGTTTCTTGCACGTGCTTGCTTGCACCAGGGATTGAGGCAGAAGGAACCATAGATTCTGGTTGGGATTGCTTAACCCTGTATATTTTCAGTTTTTACTTCTTTTTTCTTAGGCGGCCATCCAAGGTGTGCACAGTAGAATTACAACCAGAGCAGGAAATTAGGACTGCCTTGCATCTTTTAACACTATGGCCAATCTCCTTACAATCGGCACAGACTGGTGGCATCCAAGGGCTAGAGACCAGCAGTCTCTTTATCTCACATGATTGAAACGTCACATTGACTGCCTCACGTAGCGGTTTCAGAGGATCGATGATTGTGAACACCTTTTACACCTCCAAGTTTTACTTGTCAGCCGTTGAAGGGTGAAGGCTCTTCAGGTCTCCAACATGCCCTACGATACGAGCGAGACCGCTTTCATTAAAGCATTGTAGAGGGACATTTCTGAGTTCCTACCATATTGGAGCAGACGAGAGCTCGGGCTTCTCCGGTGTGATTCGGGCGTCCAATCTGCTACAAACATAGTTTGTCCGTCTATACTCCACAATATTTGATCCAAGATTCTAGAACGTGTCTGGACATTAGGGAATACTGAAGAGGAAAGCATTCCCTTCCAGCTTTGAAACCGATATATCCCAAAACTTTTGGCTCCATATACCATTGACAATCATGTGAATGGTTCCCTGAGATGGGGGATCCGAGTAGAATTGCCCGATGATGAAGGACTCTCAAGATGTTGGGTGCTTCTGGATCTCCGAGTTGGGCATCTCGATGCACGCCTCTCCCGATGAAAGCTGGAATGCCTTGCCCTTCTTTGACAACGGCTTAGCTGATCCTTTAAAGAGCCTTAGCCATTTATCATCTCTTGGTGTGACTTCATTTGTAGCCAGAACATCTACCTCAACAAGTCTCGAAGGTACATCATTCTTGCTCGTTGTTACTGGAGTCGAAGGGACAGCATCAATGACCTCCTCAAACAATATAGGACGTCCTGAAGCTTCATGATCTATAAAGCTTAGATCTACGGCTGCAGGGGTAGGAATAGCCAGATATATGACGGCAATGGCTAAGTCTGAAGACGGCGCTTCAGCTAAGGCATTAGTCGGAGAGGGAGAAGGTACAATCGAAGGCAACAGAGACTTCTCAGTTTCAGAAAAGAGGGGGATGAAGGCAATGGAGCTTTTTTAGGTGGGGAAATCCAACCCTTAGGCTTTTTCTTTGGATATTTTTTCTTCCCCATAAGGAGGGGAGAGCCTGAAAGAAGGACCGGAGACGGCTTCCGCCGCCGTTGGTGGCGAGGGAGAAGAGAAGAAAAAAGAGTCATCTTTATCGCCCAGAGAAGAGAGAAGAAAAAAGGTTTTTCATAATATCCAGATTATTGGTGGGTCTAAAAATCATTTTCCACAAACATGGCCTTATCAGTCGCGTCCATTATGAAACATGTAGATGGGGGCCTATTTGTTTGATCAAATCTTGTTTAACCAAATTGTATCTTATTGTCTATTATACTACAGTAACTATTATGTATCTTTCTTGAAATTTAGGACTTAATAATTGAGTTTGTCGTAAACAGAGAAAATATATAAAAGTGATTTTTTTTCTCCACCGTACAGCTCATACGTATGTAGGTCTAAATGTTTTTTTCCTTCTTTTTAGCAACATGTATGTCTAAATTTAATATATGGTGAAAATGTAATATTAACAAACTTTTTTATTTTCTTTTCTTTTTTGGCAACATGTACGTCAAAATTATGTATGGATATTTATTAAACTTCTTTTCATATGTATTTAGTCCATTGCATATTTTAAAACAATGATTGACAGAAACTATATTTAATGTAAAGATGTTATTTTACCAAAAATATTATCTATTCAGTGTAAAGATGCTTATAAATCTTATATTCGTAGTGGTTTAGTACTAATATTTTCAGTGGTTTTTTTGGTATACATTTGATAAATTATCTATTAAAAATAAAAAAACTAAGATACAAATAATATTCCAACAACAATTACAAAAACAAAAGTTTGAGTTCATGAATCATGCAATTGCATTAACACAGTAAATAAAACATGTATCTACACTATATTCATTTTAATATTTAAAAAAACTTTAATAAATAGTAGATCAATACATAGGGAAAAATGTAAAAACTTGGGGATTAACATAATGATAAAAAATAATATATCTCTTATACATGATAAACTATAATATAATATTGAAATTTAAAAACCTCTTTACCCAAAATCAGTTTTTATTATACTATGTATGGCATGGGTTTAATAACTTATAGTATTTTTATTTTTTACATTGTAATCATTTTTATAAATATTTTATTTTTCATTTACACGTGAAATCAGTATCAATAAAAAAATACAGTACATAATTAGTATATTTGATATGTGTTGGATAAAATATAATCTATTATTATTTACATAACTTTGACAGAGTTATTATTTTATTTTAAAACATAATAATTTCATTAACATTTAGTTATAAATTACTGAAAAATTATTACCAAATAATTTAAATATTATAGCAATTGATGTGATTAAGTGTATTTTTAACATTACTTTCTTACATTTTATGTTTTTTTTCTTACATTCTAAAAGAAAGCAATTTCCAGCTTAAAGAAACCCTAAAAACTCTCTCTTCTTCTCAGGCGCCGCTTAAAAAAAAATTCTGATATAGGGCTGGAGATTGGTTGCGATCTTAGCACCACCTATGGCCACTTCCATATTTGCTTTAGTTTTCATTTCTTGTATTCCTTTTCTTTTATCGCGGCAGTTCCTAACTCTTTCTAAGTTTGGCTAGTGTGGACTAACGTTTCATGTCCGGCGTGTTTTGAAGATTCGTGACAATGCGTGGAGAGCAGATCTACCTCTGACGGCTCTGAATTTGATAGATCTGGTTGTTGTGTGGTCTAAATTACGGTTCAACCGGCTTCACTCGTTAAAGGATTTAGGTTATCTCTCAATTCCACTTTTTACCTCTCCTACAAGTCTCGTCTCTCGCCGTCGGAAGCTTCCTCTTGGGTTTTTTCTGAAGGTTGTAGCAGCTGGTTTCGTTACATGGTTCTGTCATTCTCCGGTTGGGTTAGTGTATTATGCTCAGATTATGTGTTGTATTTTTCAAGCCTTAGATTCAGCTGTTGGGTTGGCTTGTTTGTCTCCTAGCTTTGCATATATCTATGTCCTCCTTCTGATTTATTGGTGTGGTGATTTGACGATAGGTTTCATTCTGTGGGTTCTTCATTCGGATGGTAACCTCCTATAATCGCATCTACTAGCTCCTCCTTGGGATCTTTCTTGGTTTCAGGGCAGTAATCTAGACGTTGTGGCGGGTTCGATCTCTTGTCCTTCTCTTTGCGTAGCGTAACCAGTCCTTAGTCTGTAGATGGCTTTGGCTGGGTCTACGAAGGTCCGTGTGTAACGATAGGTGGTCCTCTTTGGCGTTTCCCCTCCCGTTTCTCAAGGCTTCTCCTTGATCCTCCGCCAATTCGTTTCCATTGTTACTAGATTGGTCAGGATGGTTAGGTTCCGTGTTCTGTTCTACTTGTTGTGCCGTCTTCGTTTCTAGTGTGGAGGTGGGTGTGTGAGCTCGTTTTAGTTCTCTCTTCGGGCTATAAGTATGTCTGATGACATATGATCTTTGGGTTCTTTCGAGGCTACATAGCGACTGTATTGCGACCAAATAATTTAGCGATACATGGTTTGGAGACTACATTATTCAGTCGCTAAACAGTCGTTTTAAGGTACTTAACGACGGAATAGTGACTGTTTTTGCAGTCGTTAATCACATGTTTTCTTGTAGTAGCCTGCAGCAACAGCTTGAGGAAGCTACTCGGAAGATAGAGGAACAAGTAGCTATTCAAGCAGAGCGTGAAGCAGAGGCTTCACGGGTTGCAGTAGAGGCTTCACAGGTTGTAGCTGAGATCAAGCACTTGAAGCTAGTCAAGAAGTACTTGAGCGAAACTGACCCCAATTTCATTGCTTTCCTCAACTCTAAGTCCAATGATGCCTCTGCAAATGAATAGGCTCTCTTACTTTCCCTCCTACTAGAACTTGAAAGAACGTGAAAACATGTGTAGGTTGTATTGTATTTGAACTTGGTTGTATTATGTTTGAACTTGGTTGTGTATTTTGTTGAACATGAAAACATGTTTTGTTTTTGTGTTGAACAAAAATATTATAAATAAACTTTTTTTGTGTTTTACAAACAATTCGTAATTACAAAATCAAATTTAAAAGCTTCCTAAATCAAGATTTCAAACCAATTCTGTCACAAAACAGTAAAAATTTACAGTAGCAAAACAGTCGCATAATAGTCGTACATCAGTGACTAATGTAGCGATTGATATGCGACCTATTAGTGACTGTTGTGCGACCCAGTTATTAGCGACACATGGTTTGGCGATTACGTTGTTTAGTCGCTAAACAGTCATACTTTGTTACCTAGCGACTAACTAGTGACTGTTTTTGTAGTCGTTAATCCTTGAGTTGCGCCGTCATAGTGACCAATAAAATATGTCGCAATACAGTCGCTACATAGTTACTGTATTGCGACCATAATATTTAGCAACGCAGGGTTTGACGACTACGTTATTTAGTCGCTAAACAGTCGTTCCAAAGTACTTAATAATGGAATAGTGACTGTTTTTGCAGTCGTTAATCACATGTTTTCTTGTAGTAGCCTGCATCAACAGCTTGAGGAAGCTACTCGGAAGATAGAGGAACAAGCAGCTATTCAAGCAGAGAGCGTAAAGCAGAGGCTTCACGGGTTGCAGTAGAGGCTTCATAGGTTAAAGCTGAGCAACAAGCTGAGATCAAGCACTTGAAGATGGTCAAGAAGTAGTTGAGCGCAACTGACCCCAATTTCATTGCTTTCCTCAACTCTAAGTCGAATGATGCCTATGCAAATGAATAGGTTCTCTTACTTTCCCTCCTACTAGAACTTGAAAGAACGTGAAAACAAGTATTGGCTGTATTGTGTTTGAACTTGGTTGTATTATGTTTGAATTTAGTTGTGTATTTCGTTGAACATGAAAACATGTTTTGTTTTTGTGTTGAACAAGAATATTCTAAATACATGTTTTTTTTGTGTTTTACAAACAATTCGTAATTACAAAATCAAATTTAAAAGCATCCTAAATCGAGATTTCAAACCAATTCTGTCGTAAAAACAGTTCAATTTTACAGTAGCAAAACAGACGCATAATAGTCGCACGTCAGTGGCAAATGTAGCGATTGATATGCTACCTATTAGTGACCAATAAAATATGTCGCACGACAGTCGCTATTTAGCGACTGTTGTGCGACCCAGTTATTAGGGACGCATAGTTTGGCGACTACGTTTTTTAGTCGCTAAACAGTCATACTATGTTACTTAGCGACTAACTAGTGACTGTTTTTGTAGTCGCTAATCCCTGAGTTGCGACGTCACAGTGACCAATAAAATATGTCGCAATACAGTTGCTACATAATGACTGTATTGTGACCAAATAATTTAGCGACGCTTGGTTTGGCGACTACTTTATTTAGTCGCTAAACAGTCGTTCCAAGGTACTTAATGACGGAATAGTGACTGTTTTTGCACTCGTTAATCACATGTTTTCTTGTAGTAGCCTGCAGTAACATCTTGAGGAAGCTACTCGAAGATAGAGGAACAAGCAGCTATTCAAGAAGAGCGTGAAGCAGAGGCTTCACGGGTTGCAGTAGAGGCTTCACAGGTTGTAGCTGAGCAATAAGCAGAGATCAAGCACTTGAAGCTGGTTAAGGAGTACTTGAGCGCAACTGACCCGAATTTCATTGCTTTCCTCAACTCTAAGTCCAATGATGCCTCTGCAAATGAATAGGCTCTCTTACTTTCCCTCCTACTAGAACTTGAAAGAACGTGAAAACATGTGTTGGCTGTATTGTGTTTGAACTTGGTTGTATTATATTTGAACTTGGTTGTGTATTTTGTTGAACATGAAAACATGTTTTGTTTTTGTGTTGAACAAAAATATTTTTAATACACGTTTTTATATTTTACAAACAATTCGTAATTACAAAATCAAATTTAAAAGCATATAAAATCAACAAGATTTCAAACCAATCTGTCACAAAACAGTTAAAATTTACAGTAGCAAAATAGTCGCATAATAGTCGCACGTTAGTGGCTAATGTAGCGATTGATATGCGACCTATTAGTGACCAATAAAATATGTCGCACAACAGTCGTTATTTAAAAAGTTAAAAAAATAAAATATTCTCCCGCGTGTTTAAACCTAGTTAATCTGATTTTTTGTGTGATGGTGTGTCTATGTGTAATTTTCTCTCTAATTAGTGCATACAATACACGTTTTATATTTGATGGTATGTTGTTGTGGTGTTTATAGCTATGTTTTTTGAATGGATTGTATTGTTCAAGAAAGTGAAGAGATACAAGCTAGAAAAAAATGAATATATTGAAGTTAGATATATTATGTTAACAATTCTTAATAGTTCCTGAATATACATCACTACATTATGATAAAACTAATATTCTTTGTTATTAATTTTCAATTTATATATCTTACTTATATTTCTATGCTTTTAAAATTCTAGGAAAGTTTATTTAGTTATTTGTGGATTCGCCAATCGTCGTCAATTTCTAGCTCCATTTCGAAACACTCGCTATCATCTCCAAGATTTTAGGGGACAAGAAAAATATACTGTAAATGCATATGAGTTGTTTAACCATTGTCACTCTAGCTTGCGAAACGTAATAGAGAGGATTTCTGGCATAGTCAAATCAAGATTTCTCATCTTTAAATATGCACCACCCTTTCCGTACAAGACGCAAGTAGAGTTAGTACTTGCTTGTGTTATTTTACATAATTATCTTCGTAAAGAATTTCATTCAGACTTGTTTCTTCCGGAAGAAGATGACAATAATGAGGAAGCAACTGATGTTGATGAAAGATATGATGATGGGAATAATGAGGAAGTACAACTTCATGGTACTCAAGAACAACAAACAGTGCTTGCTAATTATGGGGTCATGACTCATTACTATTACTATGCTTTATATTAGATTGTTTTCATTTTTCTGTTGGGATCTTTTTTTTTCTTCACATCCAATAATTTCTAATGAGAAACACTTTGTCTCCTTTGACTAAAATGCCTATTTTTCTCTTAAAATTTTCAAAGTGTAATTCTTCAATGATGTTTTCTTTGCCAACAACTTGATCCAGTTCTTGTTGGATCTTGTTTAACACTTCTGGTTACGATCTCTACCAAGGCAAATTCAGATGCTTTAACTGCCTTTGGGTTACGATCCCTTCTGGTTACGATCTCACGGATAGATGAGCTTTCTCATCATTGTCTTATAAGAAATCTTCTTGATGTACGAGGTGGAAATACAAGTTCCTCTTGTTTATGAAGTGATCAACATTTAACTGTTAAAGTTTCCTCAAATCACCAAAAATTCAATAACCAAATCTCACCAAATCACAAGTTATTTTCTTTTTAAATCTCTAACAAATAACCCAAATTTTTGAAAACTACACTCAAAAATCTCAAAATTCTAAAATAATTTCATCAAAATCTCCTAAAATATGAAGTTTAATACACCTCCTAAATATTTACTTCTTTGAAACTCCCTGAGATCGGTCTTACACCCTCATGTTACAACTTCGGTCCGGCCCACTCAAAGCAGAGTCTCCCCCGATGACAATCCAGATAAACTTTGTGCCGATCCAACCAATTCATGCCCAAAATAATGTCATACAGCTCCACCGAACTAACCACATCACTGGCCCGCCCCTGAACCGCTAGTAACGTGCATCCTGCAACCCTAGTAAGTCCCCGAGACTAACATGACATTTGTGCATCGGCAGACTTATCGGCTCAAATTTGCCCTGAGATACTCTCTCAATTAAGAGATCATTGTAGTAATTAGGGATCGAATCCAAAGAGACTCGACGATTACACAATAAATAATTGGTATTAAATTAAGCTAAGCAAGCAAGTTTTAAATCAAATAAAACAACAAATTAAAATAAAGATTGGTTTTAAACAATAATGAGGAAACACTAGGCCTAGGGATATTCTTAGGAAATTTAGAATTGCAAATAAAGAATTATCATGATTTATAAAGCACCGTTCTTGAACTCAAATCACAGAAATATAATCAATCAACTTTTGTTGCAAAGACTATCTATGTCTAGAACCCTAAATTCCAAATCTCTTTGCAAATTTAAAAGTTTAAGACATGCATTTAATTCAGATTTGATAAGTTTACAAAATCCCTAAACCAAATCTCTTTGCGAATTGGTATTTTGCTAATCTTGATAATTTTCAAGATATAAATAACACTTTCGTGTCTACCAATTAACCTAAGATCAGATTCTAGGTTGCTTTCACTACTCTAGAACAAATTAACCACAATCTAGATGAAGAACTCTATCGATTCAATCCTAACAATCTAACAACCTAAAAATTCATGAATTCCTTTGAAAGCCCTAAACCTAACAAGAAATCTACTCACACATGGTGAATGAAACAAACATCATGAATAAAATAGTTATCATTAAAAAATCAATAGAAGAAGTAAAGGAGTTTTGAATCTTCTCTGAAAGAGGTTTTGATTCTTCTCTCATGGTTCTCTACAAATCTCTCTCTCCAGAATAAAGCTTAAGTCTTAACAAAACCCTAAAAACTCAATATATATGTCTTAACCACGAATTGGGCTTAATTGCAAATAAGAGACACTTCTGGGCCGAATCTGCAAATCTTCTGAACTTCAATTAATCGTGAAATCAATTGCCGTCAGATATTGGTGTCGATCGACACTTACAGCAAATATGCTCTCCTGGTACGTTCCTTCGGCACATCTTCTCCAAATGCTCACAAATGCTCCAAAAAGCTCCAAAAGCTCCAATCCATGCCAAATAGCTCCTAATCCTGAAATGACTCAAAAAACTCGAAAACACTATAAAAACTCTATAAATAAGACTTATATCATGGCCAAAAATCCGTAAAAACCATGATATATCACAGACTTGCAAGTCCCCAAGTACACTTACATAACTGTTCCTTAGCACACGCTTCTACGTAAAGAACACATAAACTTGTAAAACCATTTACTTCCAAAGCTCACCAACAAAATACTTAAACCTCCACACTTAACTCATTTCCTACATCAACAAATTCTTCTCGTCATTGTCCTTATCGTAATCCAACAACTGATCTAACTAGT